ATTATACTTGTAATCAAAATGGTTACCTCTGGTCATGGCTGTCTAAGATTAGTACTGAGCACCCATCCGTCAGACCAACACTTTTGACTGTTTCCTTCATATCTTCTTCAAGAAAAACTTCCCAGTTCTTGCCTTCTTTATCTGGTCCTGAGCCGTTCTTTAGGATGATCCCCCCTGATGGTGCTAAGGCTCTGTGCAGATCACCCAGTTTTGTGCTGCATGAGAAGACGTGCTGCGATTCTGTGAAATGCTGGCCCTTCCCTCCTTCATTATACTCTGCTAAACGAAGAACGTTTACCACCACAGGTTCATGATCAGGGCCTGTCATCACCTTTGTACCACCAACCTGAAGTAAGGAATGCAAGATTTATGCAGTGGTGATCAATAAAATACAGACAAGACCAGACAGCAATAAACAACAACAATAAAATTATTGAGACAAAAAGACGGACCCTCTCTCCTCATTAGAAATAAACCACCTTTGACCAAATGCCTACTGAACAAACAACCAGAATAACTCAAAGGTGTTGGGAAGAGAAAGCATAATGCTAAGGTCTGTTCCAAGTCTGCATGTATAGTAAACACATCGGCAACAGTAGCTGGGAAACCAGTGGAAACTTGGTCTCCATCAGATTAAGAATGGAGGAATTTAGCCCCTTAGGACATTAAAGAACTACCCAAAAGTGTGACTGAAGCAAATCAAAAGAGTTAGATTTCAAAATCTGGCCTTTCTGATATTCAACCTAGGCAAAGAGTATAGTTCCTCAACAAAGGCAATTTCATCATGCAGGAAGCTGGAGACCATACCAAAAGTACAACCAAGACAAGAACGACTCTGTTACTAGATGTTTTCTTTTGGTTTTGGAGGGGGGGGTTTGATAAATCAGAAAGCAATTGTACACTTTACAACAAAAATATTTTAAAAGTAATATTCTAGTCCATTACAGAGATGGAATAAAATGCTGTGTTACCTAACCACTGAGGCAAGCATTTGAAAGTTAAGCAGAAGCCTTAATATTAAAAGGAAGATGCAACACTAGAAAAAGGAGCACAGTATTTCAAGGGAGACCATACACAAAAGTAGTCATTCACAGGTCTAATTTTATATGTGGAATGATTCGCTACAGGGCATAAGTTTTTGTTACCTTATTACTATTGACCAATCTCCTCCCAAGAGGCAGCAGATGTTTTCAGAACGCACTTCAATGGAACTGGCATTGGATATCTACAGGTACCTATCAATCTGACCATATTACAGGCTGCATAGTATAATTCTGCTTATAATTTTATCAAGCAGCACATTGTACATCACTCAAGGTATACTGAAAAGCTTTAAAGACATAGTATCCTAGACAAGGCTGAAGCGGTGTCCCCAAAACCAGCATTGGTATGTCAGCAGCACATCTGCAGAACAGACTGACATTTCCAAAAACATCTCTGGAGACTGTATCTTATCTCTTCAGAACTGACAAGGAGTGAGGGTATTTGGTTCTTTTACCTCTTTTCCATTCCACACGAAGACGTCTGCTCCATCAGCCAGCCCAATGCCATCCAGTGTCAGCTCGTCTCCTAAAAAGCAGCGAATTATCAAGTTCTTTCCCTCCCACCGCAAAACAGACAAGCAGGGTCAGCTGGTAAACTGAAATATGCTGGCACACTCTACTCTGGCTCAGGTGTATCTTTACAAAAGCTGCTGGGTGATCAGCATTTACAGTAGGTAACTTAGAGGTCACTCATGTAGCAAAAGCAACACAAGTGGGTACACACCCCTACAGCACTCTCACTGAGTAAAGAGGGCCACAGCGTGAAGGTTTCAGTTCAATTTCCCTTGCAAACTGAGGCCCAAGTTAGCACTTGGCAAAGCTTCTTGGTCAGGATTATCTGCATGAGATTCAACAGTGAATCAATAGATTTTAAATAAAACAGTTGGATTTAATAAGAGAGTTACATACTGTAGAACTCCAAGCCCATTCTTTGCAATACTAATGCCCATGCTGCAGTTTCTTTTACCTTCCTAGCGTAAGTCAGATTCAGATATTTTAAAAGTCCTTGTCATTTAAAAGAACTGTACTAGCATCCGGAGCAATATTTACAGCAGCTATGAATGCCTCTGTATTTTGATGGAAATGTATTTTGATGGAAAGTTGGGTTATGATCTGGCAGAACCCTCATGTTCTGAAACAGACCACAAAGACTATACAATTTTAAAATGGCTGACAGGCTTTTGAAGACTAACACCTAGAATCACATAACAATGCAAAGCTGAGACAGAACTCATTATTTTAAAATACTAATGTACTCTTAATAAATTAAACTACTCTTTATATAAGCATTTTACTTTACAAAATTCCTACTTCAGCTTAGGTCTAACCTACATTTTTCTTTGATATCACCCTGGGTCTTCTCTTCTACTCCCTCCTCTACCTACTAGGTAAATCCTATGAAAGCAAACATTCATAAACAAATCAAGGTCAAAATACAGACTGATATATTTTTGTCAGCAACCATGTTTAACTTGCATGAGATCTGCAGTTTTACTGCACTTCACAAAAAAGATTATATATAGAAGTCTTAAAAAGCTTCATTTCACTAATAAGAGTGTCCTAAATACCTTAACAGCAGTGGACTTGCATGTAAGTTTGAGTTTGAAGAATGTTCAGTAACACACTTCTCCAAGATGTTTTACATATGAAATCCTCAATGTCTGCAGTAAACACAACATATAAATAACATGGAAGTCTTGTATGTAGTCATCTTACCATCAAGTATCTGGTAAAGATGCAGTCCTGCTGGTAAAGGCTTGGCAATACTGAGAACCATGTCTCCTTCCCAAGATTCCAACATCTAATTGGGAAGAATTAAAAAAAAAAAACAACCACCCAAAAACACAACAAAAAAAAACCCCAGCAGCAACCAGTAACTCACATCACTCGAAATTACAACTTTGCCAAAAGCTGTTACAGCCTGGCTACCAAGCTCACTTTGACACTTAACAAGTCACAGCTATTTACTTCAACAAGGCCAGTAACACAGAAAACAGTCAAGCATTTACAACTTGTCTTTCAAGCTAGTCACCAGATAGGCAAAAATAACGTTTCAACTGGACACTAAGCAAAGGTTGTGAGGTACAGGAAAAGCAAACAGTGTTTCCTGACATTCAGTTAGCTTTGATTTAGATCTCAATAAAAAAGCATTTTACAAATTGTCGTATTCCTTTAACAGAGTAGAGAATAAATGCAAAGATACCACACTCAATAGTTAAACTAGATATTTCTTTTAAGTAATTTTCTTTTTCCTTAAACCACTTTGATTATTTCCTTTTAAGGGCAGAGAGGTCCTTGAAAATACAAAGACAAATCCATCACATTAAGAATAGGCCTGGAGTTTTGCAAAATGTCAATCCATGCCCATTTGCTGCCCAAATATAAATAATTAGTTTATGAGAGCTTTAAAGTCTACATAGTTAAAGATTCATCAATTTCACAGCTTCTTCAATACTTCAAGAACAGACCTCAAAACAACGTTCCTTCTGTGTAAACCCATATAGTTTTTGGTCTCCTAAAAATAATGTTTACTGTTGAAAATTTCTCATTGGATAAAAATTGCGGCATAAATACATTGTAAATGTTGTTGTAGCTCAAGTAAAACTGAAGTGTTTGAGTTAATTTAAATATAGCAAATACCTGGAATACTGATTGTCGAAGGTCTCCTAGCGTTTTTCTTCTATCAATAGTCAAATCCACAACACTGTCTTTCCAAGTAAGTGAAGGATGCAAAGCCCCATTATGAAATTTATAACATGAGCTCAAATGGAGATGTAAATCAATGCCATGGTTTGCTGATTCACATTCCGCTCTTTGAAAGAATAACACAATAATAAACTGGTGAATTTAACACCAACAAACGGCTAGCTTATTTCACAGATGCTTCTGTGCAGTTGCCCTGGAACTGATACCCTCATGACTAAACTCAGTCACATTACCCCCTGCATCAAGGGGTATGCAAAGAGATGCTCAAAGACGACAGTGATTTACATACACATTGTACAATACAGAGTTAGTGTAGACATCCTCCACATAAGCCCTATAACAGTACATATTGTGTCTTTCTACACCTTGCTTCTACCTTTCTAAGCAGAATGGCAAACTTCATCTTTAGGGATGTGGAGATTGTAGGTTTTTTAAGGCTGTGTCCAGACCAGTACTCTGTTGAAATGCAGAGACAGAAAAACTGCATGGAAACCGAGTCAGGACAGACACAGCCATGCTTTCCTCCTTTATACTTGTATCCAGTTCTATTAGCTAAATGTAGCAGCAAATACACCGTTTAAAAAATAAAGGAGCAAAATTTGCACAGTACAGAGATATCACACAAGACTTGTGTCTCTTGTGCATGTCTGTATTTTGATAGGTTAACTGTGATTCAGGCATATAATCAGTTTTGTGTGTTCCTCAACAGAAAGAAAAGTTTCAAACAACCTGAATACCACTAGCTCTTCCCTCTGTTTCTGGCAAAGAATACCATCTATCTGTTGTTTCACAGTAAAGCAAGTAATTCCCCCTTCTCCCAATGGAGAACTCCCTCTATAAACATAAATAAGATAATGAATTCCATTCTCCTTCCAGAATTGCACTGATTTTCACAAAAAAAGGGTACAGTTTTAAACTTTAAGTAAGTTTCCCTTGAAATTCTGTAGAATGCCTAGTTACACCACTAATAGGGAGGCAGGGAACCAGTAAACGCAGAATGTGGGCATACAAGTATTCCTTGATTAACCTCTATGACATTGAATTATTTTAGTATCTGGCTCTACTCAAAGAGTTTGTTTCATTTTAAATCACTTTTGATATCTGCAGATTAAGAATGCTGTTTAAGAGATTGGTACAGTTACATTAATATACCTCTTTTTTTGCAGCTCAGTATTAGCAACATTCATTTCATTCAGAAGGTGTTCAGGAATTTGGTACCTTGGATTTCCTCGTGCTGCAACAAATAATATAGGCTAGTTTGGCCTCAGCTGCTTAAAATGTGTTTCAGCAAACAAGAAAAGTGATCAAGATGAGACATTATAGTACGGTAATCACTGACAATTCAGAGCAATAATGTTGCATCCTTTCGTAATAGAGAAAATTAAACTGCAAGATGATTCAAAGAACAAACAAGTGCTTTTAC